ATGCCTCCGCTGCCTGCTGAGGACATACACCCACCAAAACGGACACCGCTGCCCGCAATGCCGCGCTCACTTCGCCTTCGAGGTGCTCGAGGAAGCCGTAGGAGGTGAAGGGACCCTCCCGCTTCGCGCCCACATTATCGAGCACGTGGATCGCAACGCACCGAGGGCCGACGCAGCCGACGAGTACGATGCTGGCGAAGCAGTCGAGGGCGGATGGCGCCCAGAAGAGGACGTGCTGTTGCTGCCAGGCACCGACAGACTGCTGCTCGAGCTGCCCCAACTCAATCGCAACCTGCGGCTCGGCATCGAGGAGCCCCCACTGCGAGGCAGCATGGCGGAGATGGAGGAGGCGATGGCGAACGACCCAGAGCTCTACGGCCCAGCACGACAGGAGGAGCAAGACGACGACTGGCGACCTTCGACAGAGCCGTTCCAGCCGCCCAGCGAGAACACGGAGCAGGCGGCGGCGAGGACGTGGGTCGACGTGGTCAATACCAGGAGGGAGGCGGCCACACCGGCGGCAAGCGGGTCGTCAAATGGAGCGGCAAAGGCACCACAATCGAGGAGGCAAAACAACATCCGCCCGAGGACCAGCACCAGGGCGTCCCGCGCCAATTTGTCCCTCACAACACGACGACAGGAGCGGCAGCATGGCAGAAGACAACGGCAAATATACCTCCCGAGAGGCTTTCAGCTCCCCAGATCGGTGGCCTGGCGGCCTCAGCGCACCGGGGGCGGACAACCAGCCATGCGGTCGCCCAACCCGTTCCAAGCGCTGGAGACCATCGATGTAGAGGAGGGAGACACAGATGAGACCGCCACACAAGGGCCCCAGCCGCGCAGCGGACAGCAGTGGCGGCCCGTCAGCCGGCCAGCCGCCCCGCCAGAGGCAACCGCTTCCACTGAGCAGCCCGCCACCCAGCCACCCGCACCACCAGGGCCTACCAGAGGCGTCCGGCGGCCCGCCAGCTAACCAGCTGCCCGGCCAGAAGCCGTCGCACCCACCCAACAGTCCGCTGCCCACCTGGACACACCACCGAGGACCAGCAGGAGCGCCTGGCGACCCGTGAGCCAGCAACGCGCCCCACAGCTCGCCTCAAGTAGCGTGCAAGACGGAGAAGCGCTTGAGGGCGAGTGCGAGTACATAGAGGGAGACTATCAATACGGGGAGGGGCAAGGGGACCAGGACGAGAGCCAAGAGAAGCGAGGCGGCTCACAGCAAGAAAGCCTCCTATCGGAATCGAACCCACACTCAATCCACCCTCGTGCTTCTCACTCAGGTGAGTGTCGGCATCGATCCCAACCCCCCGCGCAACACCCTTCGCCCCACACACGACAGGAGTGGCGCCCTATCACGCAGCCAGACGCACCACCACCGGTCCCCACACTCGTCTGGCGTCCCAGAACCCAGCGAAACGCCGCCCCAAGGCATGAGGCGGGCGTATGGATGCCGATGCAGAGAGGGGCGCCGCCAGGACAACCAGCACAGCCGCCGACACACATATAGGTGGCAATCAGAGGTCGCCCACCAGGCCTGGCCCCACCATCCCAACAGCCCTCTCAACAGCCCTCTCAACCGTCCCACCGACCCCCCACGACCCCCTCAGCCGCCAACAAACGCAAACAACCATGCCAGCAACACGAGAGGGGGCAGAGGCGGCAGACGAGGCGGCAGAGGGTCAGGGAGAGGACGGGGGAGGGGGCGAGGCGGGGGGCGAGGGCGTGTCGCGCTGAGAGGAGGAGGCGGCGATGGCGGGGACCCCGACGAGCCAGGCGACGACACGGGTGGGGGCGGCGATGGGGGAGACCACAACGGGGGCGGCAGCCGCCGCGCCACATCAGCACGCGACGGCACGCGTGGTCCGACAAAGACGATCCCGGAGAGAGGGCTGGCGCTCCTGAGGAAGCGCACAGAGGAGCAGCACTCGACGCATGGGCATCTCGATGGAGGCAAGGATCCCCTTACAGGCAAGGATCGACCTGGCTGACGTGATGGAGGCGGCAGACATGCTGGTCAGCCCCGATGGCGATACCAACCAGCTGGACGACGGGTGCCTCTTGTTTCCGTACATCCCTTTGCTACTGCAGTTCCCAACCAAGAGAGGAGGGGCGGAAGGGAGGAGAAAGTGGGAGCGGAGATTTCGGCTGTTTTGGGAGGGGGAATGGGAGCTGCTGCTACGAGAGGGGGCCGATTTCGCACCAAAGAGCACCGAGACGACACCGGCCATCCACCCCACACCCGCCCACCCCACCTACGACCAGCAGGAGCGTCTGGCGACCCGTGAGCCAGCAACACGCCCCACAGCCCGCCTCAAGCAGCGTGCAAGAGGGAGAAGCGCCTGAGGGCGAGTGCGAGTACATGGAGGGAGACTATCAGTACGGGGAGGGGCAAGAGGACCAGGACGAGAGGATTGCAGGGGGTGGGTGGGCGGGCGTGCCTGGGTAGGTAGCGAATGCTTTGATCATTGCTGTCAATAGTTTGGATGCGAACATCTAACCGACCGTCCCAGCGCATGGACACACGGACAATCTTACCCTTAACCACCACCACCACCTTCACAGGTAGACATGTAGATTGGAGCGCAGCGATGCGAAAACGGGCGCCCTTGCTATACATCAGCAACCTCGACACGGGGTATGTTCGTCGTGATTTTATTGACATCCAATGACACGCTAGCCGCACGCAGATTGCTTTTGATGCTCGTGTACATCAGTGAGGTGCCTGGCCGTCTGTCTGTCGACACAACAGGCAATGTGGGGAGAGACATGTGCAAGTAGGTAGTGTGCATGTATGGATGGTGAGCGGGACAGTGGTTGGTTGGTTAGTGTTTAACGAGACTCGTGTGACAGTCTGTAACCCCGGAGGGATCCTGTCATGGGACGCCGGATGGACTGTCAGCATGTACCCATTTAAGCTCGCATCATTGGCCGATCGCTCTCCCCGCCGTCCAAGAAGATGCAGGGTGTGTTAGTGTTCCTGGAGCTGTGGCTGGCCCTTCTTCCCATTCAAGCAGCACCTTCATCCCATCTCATCCACCGGGCACCTCGTCTGCTGCCAGAACGGGCTTTACAAGCCAACGAGAGCTACGATGGCAGCTGCACGTGGACAGACTGCACCAAGTGGAACCTGCTCTCTTCCAATGTGAACTTCCGTTTGATCTTCCGGCCCACCGTCACTTCCACGGAAGTTCGGCCTCCCCAGTCGCTCATTCTGCCAGTGGACACGATTGATGAGCTCTCGAGCGCTGAGTGTGGACCGTGCGCTGCTGACGCTGATGCGTTCCGCCGGCTGACGCTGAATACCGGCCTGGTGAACGAAACTGAGGCGGCAATCTTTGGGACGGACTTCTGCTCCGTGTCCTTCATCGTGTGTATTCGACTCCCAGATGGGGCTGAGGGGTACCTGATGCTGTTGTGGGATCAGATGGATCAGGTGGACCGATGGGCGGCGTCCCTTAGGAGAGAAGGGAAGACGGTGCCTTTTCCTTCTGAGGTGTATGAGCTGGAGGCCATTCTGGGTTTGTGGATTTGGAGTATCCCATTTGAGGGCCAGCTGACTGAGGACATTGGCAATTTAGCAACACTGCGGCTGCTCGCGTTAGAACATGTGCGCACAAAGAACGTCAACAGGGACACAAGGATCACATTCTCATGTCTCTATGTATGTGTCTCAGACACACATGTACGGGAGACTCCCCGCGTCGCTTGGCAATCTGACGTCTCTCAAGGTCCTATCCATTGTAGGCTCATTACAGGAGGTCACTTTCTCGGGACTGCTGCCCCCCGCGCGACTACAGTCCCTCGATTTTCTCTGGATCATGGACACTTCATTCGGGGGCTCGTTGGATGAGCTCGCCAATCTCACGCAACTCAAGTATGTCCATCTCCGGCGGCCTGGCCTACGGCTATCGCATGTTCCTTCCACCCTCGGCCCCAACCTGACGTCTCTTACACTCAGCGATGTCGGTTTGAGCGGCCCCTTGTCTGATGGGTTTGGATCGACCTGGCCGTATCTCTTGGGGCTAGACCTGTCGGACAATCAGGTCGGTCGAGATATCATGGAAAACAGAGCACTACCCTTGATGATCATGGCTGACTTGCTGTTGCAGCTCTCGGGGCCGCTCCCCTCAGCGCTTGACAACGCGATGAATCTAACTTACATCGAGCTTTGCTGCCAAGGGGGGACAAATGGAGGCTTTCAGGGCAGGCTTCCTGCTGAGTGGGGCTCACTCACAAAACTCGAGTTTCTCGATTTGGAACAAAACAATCTCACTGGCGCCATCCCTGAGCAGTGGGTCAACTTATCGTCATTGCAGACGTTGAATTTGGGACACAATGGGCTCTCGGGGACTCTGGAAGCTCTCGGCATGCTTCGGAATCTCAAGGATTTGTATCTCAGCAACAACCAGGTCCGGTCGGTGAACTCACGCATCCACCGCTACTGGTCTGCTCCAGCCATTCTCTCTCACTTCTCTGTCTTTCTCTCCCTCTTCTTGTGTGTGTGTGTGTGTGTGTCTCTGTGTGTGTGTGTTTGTCTCTGTGTGTGTGTGTGTGTGTGTGATTTCGATGTAGTTCATAGGACAGGTGCCTGACGGGCTGGGGGAGTGCAGGAATTTGATGTTCTTCAGCGCTGCGTACAACCAAGTCGGTGGAGAGACGCCGAAGGAAATGGATGACCATTTACAGATGCTTTGTTGTTGCAGCTATCGGGGTCACTCCGCGCAGCACTTGGCAAGGCGACGGATATACGAGGAATCGAACTTTGCTGCCAAGAAGAGACGAATGGAGGCTTCGAAGGCAGCCTTCCTGCTGAGTGGGGCTCACTCACAAAACTGGAGTTTCTCAACTTGAGAGAGAACAATCTGACTGGCGCCATCCCCGAGCAGTGGGGTAACTTATCGTTATTGTGGGGGTTGGATTTGAGAACCAATCGGCTCTCGGGGACCCTCGACGCCATTGGCTGGCTTCCAAATCTCTGGGAATTAAGTCTTGGAAACAATAGGTAAGAGCTCTGTTATCGTGAAGCGAGACATGTTATCCTTCAATTTCTTTCTACGCAGATTCACCGCCCTACCGCCCTCGCTTGAAAAATGGACACAGCTGGAAGAGCTTCACATGAACAGCAACTTACTAACTGGGATGCTGCCTGCTCTAAATCCCCTCGTGTCACTCAGAGTACTTGACCTTCGCTTTAATCGCATTAACGGCTTTACTGGAAACGGTTCTCTTCCCGAAACGTAAGATAAATATTATGATACACATTGCGACAGTGATTGTGGCCCATTCAGGCTAGAAGTCCTTTATCTTCGGAACAATGCTCTTCGCTCTATTCCAGAGGCATGGTCTCGTCTGCCAGCTGTGAAACTTATAGATTTGGGAGGCAACAGCATAGATTCACGCGGCTGGCCGGGATGGTTTCAGACACCAAAGGGATACTGTGACAGCTACAATCAATGTAGGCAAGTAAAGTGCATATTATCTGCATTTGTGCTCTTTGTTACTAGTGACATGTCCTGAAGCTAAAACAATGCTATCCGCACAAGATCCTCCCTTCTGTACGATACGGATGTGCGTAGACTGTGTGGTCACACTGCTTTTTCACGTCGTCTTCAGGGCCTCTTGTAGATACGCTATACTTCTCTTACAACCCTCTAGAGATCGATGTCATTCACTTTCTACAGCCATTTCGAGCGTTGCCGAGGCAAGTACGGGGGCACACTGGATCTATGAATTGAGTACGCAAGTGTGTGTGTATGTGTGCAGTCTGACGTATCTCAGCTGCGAGAACTGTCAGTTATTTGGCGCCATAACCGATGACGCTCTCTGTCATTTCAAGATAGAGGAGCTACGAAAGTGGCTTAGCAAGCCCTCTGAGGTATTTGCAAGCACAGTATGTGCTTTGTATGTCAACTCTTACTATCTTCGGCGCCTGTGCAGGAGCAATATGGTGTTTATCCAACAGACAGTTTTGCGGGTCTCTCAAAAGGCGGCACTTTGGAACTGAACTCAAACAATATCTCGATCGTCTCAATTCGCCGCCCAGCCTTCAATGATAAGCCATACGGATGGCTTTCGAGCCCTTCGAGGCTCGCTGCTTCTGTGTGGTTACGGAACAACACGCTTGAAAAGTTTGAGATGTCGGTTCCTCACGATGAATGGCCGAGAAAGTTGGACTTAAGGGTGAATTCTCTTTTGAGCTTGTATGTTAACACGGTTAAAATCACGGTAAGAATGATTGAGTTGTTGGAAGCTGTTAATGAATAAATTGTTGCGTGTTTGTTCCAGGGATGCTATGGATTACTCAGTAATGATAGTTTGCGTTCTCAACTGCGGGATTCCCCTCCGCTTGTCCGTGACCCAAGCTGGGATCCTTCAAACCGTAAGCAGGCAGATTTCGTGCACCAATATGCACACAAGAGCGAGGGCTATATGAAATCAATGTAGCCCTCACTCTAATATGAATTCTTTCCTCTTCCTTCTATATGTTTCCTCTTCCTTCATATAGAAGGAAGAGGATTTCAATGTACAAAATTGTGCCGTACGCTAAATGATATAACATACGACATACGGGTGAGCAACTGCACGTATAGCGCACTCTTACTCATTCATGGATGTGCTATTAATATTGTCGCGTGAAGGTGGACGTTTCGGTGAACATCTCGGCTCTTTGTCGGTGCATCTCCGGTTATGCTGGTGAAGGGCAAAACTGCACCAAGTGCGAGGCAGGATCATTTTCTAATCACAATATCGGCACCTCTCAATGCCATCTCTGTCCCAGTGGATCCAGTGAGAGGAGACAGCGAAAAAGAAAGTCCAAAAAAGAGCTGTCACAATATCAGTTCACTCTCTGTCTTGCCTTTAGACTCTTCCGCCGGTGCCAGTACATGTACGTGCATTGATGGCTATTTTAGAGACGGCACCGGCACGTGTCAGCCGAACTGTCTAAAGGGCTCTTCTCTGAATCCAGAGTCTGAATTATGCCAGCGGTGCCCTGCAGGTTAGCAGATTGTGCATCGGCTTTCACGAATGCAATGAGAAAAACAAGAAGGGACACAAAGCATGACGCGTTGCATTATTTGCAGGTCAGTATGGCGTCATAGAGTCGAAAAAGTCGGGAAAGGCAATTTGCAAAGAGTGTGGAGCGGATCTCAATTCGACAGAAGGCAGCTCAGGAGAGGATGCTTGCTATTGCACGAAGGGTTTTGTCAAGTACGTCGACTGGATGACAGGCAATGAGCAGAGCATAGTTACTGTCTCTATCTCTTGTTGGCAGAAACAGCAAGAAGCTCAAATGCGAGAAGTGTGCTGAGGGCATTGATTGCGACTCACCAATAGTGAATCGCTCTATGGTGCGCACACAGCAGGGATTCTACCTGCTCAGAGACACCAACGACACCGAAACGACAACGTATGGGGGATTACGATATAGAGAGATGCAAGGCTTGTTGTCACGCTTGCTGTCATTGGATCCGCAGGTATGCTGCTGGACGCACAGAGTTGCCTGTGCTTATTTCTTGCCCGTTGAAGAAGGCTTGCCTGAGCACAGATGACGACACCGGACTCACCAAATGCGCGGTAGGCATCAAATCGCACTCAGAAAAATCGCCGGCTGCCTGACAGCTATCTGCCTCTGCTTTTTTCATCTCTCTCCCTTTCCCTGTGTGTAGGAGGGCCATCACGGCTTTGTATGTGGTTTGTGTGAGGATGGCTATGCGAGTCAGGGGCCACTGCAGCCGTGCCTCCGGTGTGCGTCGCTGGGCGTGAATATTCTCGCTGCTTCTGCACTGCTTTATGCGTCCTTTGCTCTTATATTTGGCTTGACATACCTTGCACAAAGGTACAGTAACGGTATTCACAGAGGTGTCACACATGGTGTTCTCTCGCGGGCAGTTCGGGCGCGAGGCCTAGAGACGATGTCCTCGCTGTGCTCTGCAAGCTGATTCTGAACCACATGACATCGGTACACGCATCAATCAGCTCTCTGATCGCCGGAAAATTGCTTGTCTCGGCAGATAAGCGTCTTGGCGATGCTGGTCTTTTCCATGTCTCACGACGACGAGCGGTTTTCGATTTGGGTGAAATCCTCATCGCGCCCGTTAATGTGGGACGGGGGCTTGCCGCTCGCATACACCAGCTGGGACTGTATTATACGGCTTGTGCGAGATGATATGAGGGACACAGCTGTGCTGTGGAGGCATGCCGTGTGGATTGTTATCCCTCTATTGTGTCTCATTGTCATGCCCGTCATCGCCGCCGTGTTCACGTGGGTCACCAGATGCGCTAAGCGCTGCTGTCCCCAGAGTGTCACTCAGAGAGCACCGCTGCGGTTGGATACCATTCACATTCGGACCGGGTCTGTGGCTGACTGGTGCGCTAAAGTCAAGAAAGCCGTGGACCAGCGAGCGGAGCTGCTAATCGTCATACTGACCTTCATGCACCCTACGGTCACAAGGAACATGCTGATGCTGCTGCGGTGTCGGCCGTACCCGTCATTTGACGAAGCCAATACGGTCACGATGCGGATGCGGCCGGATGTGAACCCCAATTTGTTGTGCCACGAATGGCCTCACAAGCTCTTTTCCCTGATTGGCATAGCTGGTTTGGTTCTGTGGAGCCTCTCACCTGTAATTGCCGGCATTGTGTTGCTGCGCTATCTTCGTGAAAGTCTACACTCACCCAACATGCGCTTGGTATGCGAAGAACACCGAACATTGAAACACAGAATGCAGACGCATGGTTGTGTGCACGCCCCTGTGTGTGTGTGTGCGTCCTTCGTTTCCCCACATTGTCAGAGGTTCGGTTTTCTGTATCAGGTAAAAGAGTGCAGGTCAGGAATGCGTGCAATGATGCCAACACGTCCTGCTGCTGTCTCTCGCCAGGGATATAAACATGGATACGCCTATTGGGTGAGAAGACATGTACTGAAAGACTTGTCTCAGACGAGTCGCCTCCACTTTCTCTTCTCTCCCTTGTGCATGCAGGACGCCGTCTTTGCTCTGAGGTCACCAGTGTGTCTGCGTATGCCACTTTGTTCTTCAGGATTCTGCTGCATCTGTGCAGGCGCGTGTTGGTGCTGTTGGTCGCTCATATGGCTGTGGGCAATCCAGCCTTTCAGCTTGTCGGCTGGAGCATCATTGCGTTTGTCTGTCTGAATGTCCATCTGCTGGTGAAGCCATTCGACCATCGACACATGGACCTCTTGAATCGCGTGGAGGCTCGGGGGCTCACCACCTGGCTGGTTTCCATCATGCTGCTGTCTGTCATTATCCACGGCGAAACCAATGACTACATCAGTGCCATACTCTTGCTGCTGGCGATGATGCTCAGCCTTTATCACTACCTCATTCTCTTGTCGCTGATTTGCCACAACGGCCTCTGTGACTTGGCCGAAACCAAAGGCGAGCCCTCGACACCATCGCCGGCGCGTCGCACGACATTCGGTGAGTTAGACAATCGTCTGAAGCACGCCACCACTCACAATCTACTCGATGGCTTTTTTGTGTATGCTTGGCAGCGGGCTCCTGGCGACGCTGCCCATTTGGCGGCCAGCGGCGGCGTGTCTCTCCCGCCTCCTCGCCTGGCACACCCGACGGGCCGAAAAGCAACGCGAAAAATGTGGCAAAGTGTGTCTGGACTGGGAGAGCGGCAAACTGTCATGGACCGGAGACGGTGGCGATAAGGTGACGTCATCGCGTGGCCTCTACAGCCCCCGCAGGAGGCGGCGCTATGGCGGGGTACTTGGTTTCCTGCAGACGCTGTGGCATGGCCGCAGCAGCGAGTGGCGTCTGGCGAGGAGGAGTGCACTCATTTCGCGAATGCTGAGTGCAGCTGTGGAGGAGGCCATCGATCGACTGCAAATCAGAGATGTCAGCGTGTTCAGATCGACGTCGTCAACTCACATATTTCGTCGTCAACTCACATATTTTATTGTGCTTACGTCAGGTTCCATTGGACTTCCTTGACTTCCTATTATGCTGGGCCTTTTACTTGAATTCGCCATACATGAGGGAACAAGTGAGACGGACAGAAGCAGCATTGATGGTTACCCTTGTGGCCGATCGTTTATGCAGTGTCGGCTCCGGTGGGAGTCGACCGTGTCTTCTGACCGACGATCTCAAGTTCGGCGTCGAAATACAAGAGGTGGTAAAATGCTTCTGCTGATTTCCTCTGTGGATGATTCTGCGCTGTTTGCCTTTACGCGGACAGGTGGCAGCCAGGACCATCCGACCAACAACGGCCTTAGAAGAGATTCTACAGAACAGGAGACGCAGATAGATGAGAGAGCCTTCATAGACGCTGGAAGGTGAGCACAGAAGGCGTCAGTAAGGTCTACGTCAATGAAGCACATGGGGGGGTGCAGATTTGTGCAAGAGTGCCAAAGGCAGGGAAGAGTAGGCATGACACTTCACGATCTCCAGGTGAGCAGGCGCACGGTAGCAATACCACGTCAGTACATTCTTCGACTGTCCTTGGGTCTCTTGTCAGTCGAAGCTCCTTCTTGTCGTGGACGAGCTGGTCACTCACCAGCATGACTATGACGAATCCGTTTGCCGCAGAGCCAGGACAAGACAGCACGTCAGGAGCGTGTCAGGAGCTATTTTGATCACTCAGTATTCGAGCAGCAGTGAGTTCCAGGTCGACGCACACGTGGGAGGCTGGCGTCAGCTGTACAAGACTTATGAGAAGGCCAAGCAGAGAATGAGACACGCCAGATCACAGGCGGTATACGACACACACGCAGGGGAGCTAAAAGTGTGCATGGCACTTCTTCTTGTGCAGGGCAATGGCCCCGATGACGATGACAGTGAGCCGCCAACAGACGTACGGGGGATAGAACGCCGACAATGCGTTCACTGACAAACACATGTCTATGCTTTCTTTTCCCTTCTTTGTCAGGTACATGGCCATGGACAGGACGAAGACGCACAACTCAGAGAGCCTGTTGATGGAGAGCGGGTGCTGGCGGTTGATGTCTCGTGTGTCAATGGGAGTGAGCCGGCTGAGCGTAGAGTGGAGGCTTCAATGGACGAAGACATGTGAGGACGGTATGAGTCTTGCTACACACTAACTAGCCACGTAGGCTTGTACGCCTATCATTTGGGTATATTTTTCCCCCCGCGAGCTCCTCTTTTTCTTCGTGAGCGCACTCTTTTTCTTCTGTGTTCATGCAATTGAGAGCCAGATGAACTTAGGGCAGGTTTCGACGAACGGAGATATGCCAGGATAGGCCATGAGTGTTTACCACTGATCAGAGACATAGGAGGCACACAGGAGTGGGCCCTTCTCGTCTTTGGTATCTTTCTTCCTTGTGCGGCCCTATTTTTCTTCGCGGTGCCCTTTGTCTAGTTTGTCATATGTTGTGTGCGTGTGGTACCCATTGTGTAGCACTTCACGGGAGGGGCTATTTGTTCAGCAGTTCAGACATGCTACGTGAGACAGGTAGAAGTAGAACTAACATACGTGACAGTGACAGAAAATGCAAGACGCCATAGTGCGACACAAATCATCTCACTCCACACAGCCTATCTGTCTTTCAGAGACACAATTCGTTCTCATTCGAAATGGACTTGGCGGCATGCGAAACGGACTTGTTTATCGGTGGACTTCTAAAGTTCGATCGCAACCAAGATCAGATGCATGTTTTTAGCCTCTCTGTCTGTCACTGTGTGTGTGTGCATACATATGGTGCATTGACCATTCACGTGGGCACAGGAAACAAAAGTGCTGGACTATGCTGGCTGCACATCACCGTAGATATCTGCAACCGTTATGCAAGGGCTCTTCCACTGCCTGACCCCCTGACGGACGGACATGTCAATGGTTGACTGGCCCATGGACGAGCAGAAAAGCACTCACTTCACCCACTTCAAGATGAGCAGTCTTCCTTCATTCACAACAGACACAACAACACACACCCATCACCCATCCACGCGCTGGTATACACGACTCGGCCGGTTTCCTCGCTAGTACACACAAGGGAAGGCATACATAAAGGCACCACGTCGGCAGACGGGCAAAGAGGAAAAACCCGTGGCCTCTGTATGTCCAACTGTCTGTCTGTCTGTCTGTCTGTGTCTGTCTCACTCTCCGAAAAGAAAACGACAATTGACAATCTGTGCAATGACTGGCGGCGAGGTCCTCAAGCACACCACCATGTATCTACCTCTTCCTCCCCCGCCACACCACGTCCCCCAGCTGCTGCCCTAGCAGTCTCATCACGACAGTGTGCGTGTGGCAGTGAGGGGCCGACTCGGTCATGTACAAGTCAACATACCGGCAATCCCCCCAATCACTGCCATGTTCCCCTCGCCCATCGCCGCACTCTCCAGCACCAGAAGAGCCGCCAATGTCGAACACAGCCGCCCCCGCCCCCCACCGTGCCTCATCGCTGGGCGGGGCTGCCAGCAGTGCATCCACACCGACATGCAGCAGAGTCGCGACGGAAAGACATCCAGGACCTGACCCGACGGATGTGGCCGCCGCGCCAAACCCAGTAGAACACCATGAACGATGTGTAGTTGGGGGTACGTCCAGTCTCTCAGCTGAGTGGGCGGTGGGCGTGGTCGAATGGTGCATGAGGGAAGAGGGAGGTGGGCGTGGTGAAAAGGGTGGTGGAGGAGGAGCTTGTCGCCATCCATCAGTCGCATCTGTTGGTCTCCCACAGTGAGCCCCCAGCTGAGGATCGTCCACTGCCGGACCGCCTCCTTCTCATACATGAAGGCCGCCCGATCGCCGAAGACGCCGAAGGTGCCATCACACTCAGCACCAGCGGCCTCCTGCCTCTCGGCAAATACAGCATCTCGAGCACAAGCTTCCGTCTGGCCCACCTGCCGCCCACCTCCAGCATGAACAGTCAGCGGCTGAGCTGTTCGATGAGCATCCTCGTCGGTGTCGATAAGGCGGAAGTAGGCCACGTGTGAGTAGCTCGTCACGTGGTGGGCAATTCTCGGCATCATGACGCCCAACACATCTCGAAGGCTGGCGCCCTCGTGCTGCTGCTGCTGCTGCTGTTGATTGACGGACGATACATTGCGGGCACCTGCAACTCAATCAACACACAGACGGCTGTGTGTCAGCCTAGATTGTGCTTTTCACAGTGAAAGTGCTGGTCACCATTGGCAGAAGACGCGGCTGATGGTGCTGATTGCGCGTCAGTAGAGGCACCAACTCCTTCAGCAGCAGTGCCCGACATCTGCGCGTTCTCAGACAGACAGACGCCTCGTCACTCTGTGAACATCTGCTTGTCAGTCATGCTGGGACAGACAATCCAGGAACGCCGCACACCACCAACACGCACACGCACGACACAAACATACATACATACATACACGTGATTGTGTCCACGCTTCAGTGGCAAGTAATGAGCGTCGATGGTTGTGTATTAAGCAAGCGGCTGGGCCACAATTGCCATCACTCTCGAATCCACAGTGAAGCGAAACCCTAATCAGCCCTTCTGTCCAGTTTTGCCCACACCAAGAGAGCGCAACAAGCGGATGTTGGGTGGCAAGTAATGAGCTGGCGTCCCCGTGTGCCTCCTCATAGCGTCGCTTCCAGTCATCCCTCTCCCTCTCTCATTGATCTCTTTCAGCGTTGTAGTCGTCCCTCTGCCGTCTGATCTCCTCCAGAAGCGCCGCGTGCGCCATCTGCTAGTCTCCCATCTGCTTCTGCACCATCTCCATCATGTAAGCAAAGTGGAAACGCTCGACTGCGCGTCGGATAGCGCGTCGTCGTCGGTGCTCATGGTCAGCAGCTCGATCGCTGATCAGGGATCAGCTTGATCGCTGAATAAGCCGCAGCTGAGTGTTTGGTGACGGCATGCCCGTCTGCCCGTGTGTATCGTCTCCCTCACGCCCACCTTGCCGTCACTGCATACACACACACTGAGGCACACACACAGAGGCGACGTATGTCTGACATTCATTCATTCCTGTCATCCTGCTGACCTTGCAGCACTCGCTGAGCGCCCGATGACAACCGTTGCAGCTCAAACAAGCAAGCAAGCAAACACACCCATGATGACGAACCTCAGCCAATTGCGATCACATCTGTCAGCCTGCTCTGGCCGATTTCTCTGTCTCTGATCTCACCTCTCTCCTCAAGCTAAGCTAAGCCCATTCCTCGTTTGGTCAAGCCACCCTCAGCCAAGCTTGCAGCGCTGATGCAGTTGTCTGGCCAGGTGATTCACGACAAAAAAGCCTCCACTTGACATCAGCTACTGCGAGCATCGGATCTCCTGTGTACCTGCCTGGTGCGTGCAGAAGCCCCTCACTCACCGACAGACATCATTTCGTCCCTGTTCGATTGACTGGGAAAGAGCCTTCCACTTGGTCTCGCTTTCACCAGCAGGCAGAGAGGCACTGATGGCCCTCCAGGATGCCACACAAATGAAACTGAGGGTAAAGAAGACACGCACGTCGCCGTGGCCAAGGTGGGAGGCCACGCAGGGCAAAGGGCCGCAATCCAGATGTGTTGGCGCCGACGATAACTCGGATGCCTTGTGCATATATCTGTCACATCGCACACACACCGTCACACAAACAGAGGGGAATGTATTTCAGCTGGGATGTTTCTGCGTGATCTGTGTCCATCCCTTTGCACGTCTAAGCTCGCATCCTTTGGCGACCGCTCCGCGTGGAGGCATTTTTGCATTGCAGGTGCGCATGAAGGCTGCTGCCGTGCTCATCTGAGTACTAGTGATGCGTGGGGCTTGCGAATTTCGTGAATGCGTGCAGCAGCGACACGGGTCAGTGTCAAAAGTGGGTGTGCAGCACGGAGGGTTTGGAGCTGGTCACAGTGCGGCTGCGTGTGTGTACTTCTATGTGGGTGGGCAGGCAGACAAAGTGCATGAGAGATGAGTGACCCAATTCGTTATCACCTGAAACGGACTTTTTCTCAGGTGAAAACAGACTTCAGCGTGCGCTCCTGTGATCGCTCTGCTCCTCTTTAGAGGTCTCACACATCAGTGTAATGATAGTGATTCTGCAATGGGACGTGCCGCTGGATGAGACATGAACGAACGAATCACTCTGTCATTCTCTCGAGTCACATGATTATGTGCTTGTTTGTCAGTCAACAATCAATGATGGATCATTGTCATTCATTCATTTATTCAATTCATTCATTCATTCAGTGAATCACTGCATCAATACAGACAACCCTCCTCGGTTGCTTCGCTTGGGAGACGGCCGTGATCCTGGCCTGACTGGCCACGAGGTGGCCGGCCATGGATGTTTCACATCACCCATACGTGGTCACCAAAGCCAGCCACCCACCCCGTGGAAGCCTCCTCCCTTTTTTTTTCATTCACTTCCTTTTTTTATTCTTATTTGCGAATTTTTAAAATTACTCCTTCGATTTTTTGAGGGGTTTGGGACGTTTTAAAATGGAGATGGCTGGTTTGGAGGTGGCGAAGTGAAGAGGGTTTAAACGTGTTTTCAATGGCTAAAACAAGCCTCAAGCAAGCCTCAAAATAACATCTCGTCGAATGAGTGAGAGTCCCGAAAGAAATCAGCACAAATCGCCGAATTCCGTGTAACCGACACCAGTGCGCTTGCCGCCTTTTACCCGAACGACAGGGCGCAATTGCGACTAGAACCAGAGTCGTCTCTGGCAGCGTCCGTGCGCATATATTTCATCAACCAGATCGACCTTGAAGCGTTCGCAAGGAGATTGCGGTGGACCTAGCGGTGAGCAAGTTTTCAGCGGGTATGGTCTCCTTTGCACACCCCGTGGAAGCCTCCTCCCTTGTCTTTGAATTTCTTTAAGATTACTTCCCTTTTTCTATTTGTATTTGCAAATTTTTAAAGTTGCTCCTTCGATTTTTTGAGGGGTTTGGGATGTTTTAAAATGGAGATGGCTGGTTTGGAGGTGGCGAAGTGAAGAGGGTTTAAACGTGTTTTCAATGGCTAAAACAAGCCTCAAGCAAGCCTCAAAATAACATCTCCGCCCCCCCCCCCCCCCCCCCCCCCCCCCCCC